AAATGCAGTTCTACAAGAGGCAAGGAGAGAATGATGTTTGCAATATTAAAATGCTGAGGCAATTTTCTTGGAGGATGCCTCTTCATCCATGCTCCCCAAAATGATGAGAATTTAAAAATGAGACCTTCTGAATTAAGGAATTCAAATATTGTTATAGACCTCCTTTTCATATCAGCTGTTCAAAACAATGGCACAATGTATACAGCTACTAACCTTAAAGAAAGCCTGGCACTTTTGGTCCCACCCCCCCTAATAATCTTTTATTTATATAATATAACAACAATTTACAGTAGCACATACTATTAGGAAACCACAACAATAACAACATAATCAGAAACACAAAAAACACAAGAGCAATAAAACCAAACAGCTATTCAATATATAGCTATAAACTTCAAATTATCAGGAAGTGCCTTTTTAAGCTTACTATGTCTTTCAATATATTCAAGAAAAGGGAACCAATGTTCCAAATAAGCTGAATGAAAGTCTGGATTCTCTGCCAAGGAAATACAATAACATCTGATATTTTGTCCATGACCAGGTATTCCCATAACTGATTGAACCACATATCCGATGAGAGTTGTAAACTACTTTTCCAGTGCCTAACCACCAATGCTCCCTCTAAGCTGTGGAGTCTTGTGAGCAAAAATTCTACTGTGTGAGCTACTGGCATTAAAGTTGTGAGCGAGCGATGTGGCTACTGCACAAATCAATTTGCTCGGGTGCCCTCCTTCCTGAGCCAAGACCAAAATGTGTGAGCCGGAGGCTAAATAACTGTGAGCTAGCTCACACCAACTCAGCTTAGAGGGAACACTGCTAACCACTAGGTCTGGCACTTTTGAACAAACTTGATTTGCATCCCAAAGAATCAGAAAGACCCCAGAAAGCTCATAGAGTTGGTTCCAACCAGGTTTTCCACTGCTGAAAAGGGAGGAGAGAGTCTCATTTGATCATCAAATAAGGCTACATATGAAATCACATGTTCTGCATGGATAAAAGGAGGAGGTAATGGGTGAGATAGGACAAAAAAATTGGCTGGATTGAATCCTTAGCTTGGATCCCCCAAAGCATTTATGAAGATGGAAAGATTTCCATCCATGAAGCCCAACTCCTCCCCACCAGGAGCCCAAAATGCCCAGCGAAGTGTTGCTCCTTAGGACAGGGGACATTTTGGATTACAGAGGAAAAGAGGGGAGATGAAAGTCATGCTCCAGAGATGGAAATCCTTCCATCCACAAAAACATTCCAGTGGATCCAAGCCCATGTTTATTTTAAGAGGATAGGAGACAAAGAAAAACAAGAAGTGTTTCAAGAAACAATTATGGTAGGAACAAGTTGCTACAAAGAACTACACTGCATCTTCATTACAATGCAAAAATCCCTTCTCTATAGGAGAATAAAAGAATGAATACAAGAGAGATTAATTAACTTTTGTGGTTATAGCCATTATTTTAGGGTTTGGGGCTTAGAAAATATATCCCACTTATGTTTTTGATGGAATTTTGTGAGGTCCTGTTTGTTATAAGGACCATCCCACATATCTATATATTTGTTATCTGTGCATGTCTAGAATTTGTGGGGATCTGGTGGGGATGGGGTGCCCGCCAAGCTGTTGTAGAGATAACTGTGGGGAGCCCTTTTCAGAAATCTCTTGTCATGTCTGCCTTTCTGTCATTCTATCACTAATCTTTTAAAAGGAAAACTCTTATTTCCACTGGTCTGGTGGGGCTGGGGTGCCCCCCAAGCTGTTATAGGATTATTTTGGGAAGCCCCTGTTGAAACTCTGGGGATGTCTGCCTTTCTGACCTTCAGAACCTGCTTTTGGAGACTTGGGAGGCTGCAAGTGTAGGGGGTGGTGTTCTTGCTTCCAGTGTCTAGCGGGGGGGGGGGATGGCAGGTGAAGTTTCCCTGTGAGTTTGGTGTCACTGGCTTACTCCTGAGCCATTCTCTAGACTCCTGCATCTGCAGCTGCCTTTTCCAGAGAAAGCACTGGGGAGACCTTTTGGGAGGATCTGTAACTGGGACCCCAGAAATATAATCCGCCCCCAACTTGGAGAGATTGTAGGGGACCAGGTGGCAGGGTGAGGTCTCCTATGTGTCTGATGTGTATATCTTGCAGGGGGTCCATCCTATACAGTCCCTTCATTTTCTACTGCAGAGATTCTCAGGGACTTTGATTCTGTTCAGCTAGGCTTCTATTGCCCTTGCTTTTTTGCTGATTTTTTCACGGTTGGAAACAATGGATAAGGGCACCTTCTTTGGAGGGCCATAAACTGGACCCCATAAATTCAGCCAAAGATCTGCTGTGAGTTTGGTGTCTTTAGCTTGCACATGATCCATTATATACACCCCTGAACCTCCTGACCTGCTCCTGTCATTTCCCCAGAAAGCACTTGCCTGGGGGCACCTTCTTTGAGGGAACCGTAACTCATATCCCACTCATACCCCCCACTGCAATACTCACTTCTGGGGGGGGCATTCTACCACATCATGAACCTCACAAACTGAACCAGTTTGTCTAGCATCAAAAAGTTTGCGATGGTCCACGGTTCATGAACAGCGCATGCCACAAATCCCAAACTGATACGACCCACGTTTTCCCGGTTCATGCCCATAGCTTCACTTTTTTTAATACTGCAGAATGGAAATTAAGTGGCACTTTATGATTAATCAGATTTATTCCAGCATAAACTTTCATAAATCAGATTTCACATTTTCAAACACATAATATTATATTGTTTATATTATAATCCCATGACACGTCTGAAGAAATGACTCACAAAAGCTCATACTGAAATGAACTTGACTAATCTTAAAGGTGCCACTTTTACTTAGCTACAGATAGACAGGCTAACGCTACTACAGATTTGAAATCCCTTTTTTAGTTTATTGCCTGCCTGCAGCAGTACTTGCAGCTACAGCAAGCCAGCCAACCAACATTTGCGGGGGGGGGATTCTCTCCCTTTCCCCACATCAAGTTGCTCCTCTCTCTATTGTCGCAAAAATCTGTGATGCTGTTTTGACACTGTCCACAGCACCCAGTGTGTCCTGGGATATGCAGTCTCCAGGGTGCATGAAGCCAGGTAAACTGGGATTGGGAGGAGATGACAGAGGGAGACTAAGCAAGCAGGAACCACTAGACAAAATATATAAATGAAATGGATAGTGGTAAATAAACACACTCCCTGGTTATCACTATTTGCTGGCGACATTCCTTCAGTACAAAGTACCAATACCAGTAGCCTATTCCACCAGCCTAAAAAAGGAATGGTCAGCCAGCATCCACAGCATTAGACAAAAACAAACAAACAAACATAAAGGCACATTAAAACTGACTAACAAGTTTACAACTCTGATAGCACTACGGTTAACACCAAAACCCTGAATAACCTGAATAACAGATGTCCATTTTGACGACAACTTTTCTAATAAATTTTGAACATGTGGTCCAGATTTTTATCCCAATCAAAGAAAAATTTTCAGATCACATAGCAAGTTGCAAAAATTGGTTCCAACGATAGTGCAAGTTCTTTGTGCCATTTTCCATTTTTATGGGATATATTTCTGTACCTTAAACATTGTTCATTGAGACTTACAGCAGCTTGGAGAAAAAACATCCAATGGAAGCCAAAATGTACAGTGAGGAGATACACATGGATTACTCCCATATGGACAAGCAGCCAGGTGGAAGGGCTGTAGTTAAGTGGCAGAGCATCTGCTTCACATGTAGAAGGCTCGAGTTCAGTCTGTAGCATCTCTAGTTAAAAAGCATCAGGTAGTAGATGTTTGGAGAGACCTCTGCCTGAGGCCCTGGGGAGCCACTGCCAGAGTAGACAATACTTTGATAGACCTATGGTCTGATTCTTTTCAGGATAACTTCATGCGTGCAGGCAATTTCAGACCATCACCACAAGATGAATATTGTGAGAAAGGGGCACTTTTAAAACACACATTAGTAAAAAAAAAATGTTGTGACATCATCATTCATGTTGTGTTGATCCTCAGACTGATCCTACAGACTGATTTCCTACCTTGTATTTTCTGTAACTTCTCCTTATAACCGAACACATTTTTGACCCATATATTGCTGAGGCAGAGCATCTGCTTCACATGCAGAAGGCTCGAGTTCAGTCTGTAGCATCTCTAGTTAAAAAGCATCAGGTAGTAGATGTTTGGAAAGACCTCTGCCTGAGGCCCTGGGGAGCCACTGCCAGAGTAGACAATACTTTGATAGACCTATGGTCTGATTCTTTTCAGGATAACTTCATGCGTGCAGGCAATTTCAGGCCATCACCACAAGATGAATATTGTGAGAAAGGGGCACTTTTAAAACACACATTAGTAAAAAAAAAAATGTTGTGACATCATCATTCATGTTGTGTTGATCCTACAGACTGAAAGTCCAATCAGCTTCCATATGCAAAAGACCAGGTTGTCGCAGCAGTTGTGGTGTGGGCGGGACCCGGGCTTTGCCTTCTGATTGGTGGCGATATATGCTGAGGAGCAGTGCCATCAGCCATACACTAAGGGAGTGCATTTTAGAATTAGAACTTTGGCACCCACTATTAAATTATATATAAGGAGAGATAAGCAGTTTCCCTCCTCCACCTGAGGTATTTTGATGAAGTGCCAGCAACCAGAGTCATGGGCATAGTGTTACACAATTGGATTTCGCTTAGGGAATAAATTTCAGGGTGGGAACGACCATGTATCAGCCTTTAGAGGACAGTTTCCCTCTGGTCATTCTGGCAAGCAAGAGAGCTATTTAGCTACTGTGGCTGGGGAACAGCAAGAAAAGCAGATTGCAACTACCCCTTTTATTTACCACCCCCCACAAATTAATACAAGCCACTTGGAGACTGAAAAATAACTTCTGATGTGTTGATTGGAACAGATAAAGCATTCCGTATCTACATACATTCATCGTTGCATTCTGAACGTGCTGAACCCAGTGATCTTAAGACAATTTGTCCAACCTGCTTTTTCCAGATGTCAATCACTTGGTGTAACAGTTCATCTTCCTGCCTTGCTCCAGGAATGGTAATCAAAAAGTCTACATCATGTCCCTTCTTCTTCCCCCTGCCAATAACAAACATGCAAGACAAAATAAAACCATACAACTTCTACTGAAACTCTCCAGTCCTATTTTCAAAGAGATTCCAACCCCCGCATTATAAAAAATGACTTGCAGAATAAAATGATAGCAATGTTTCCTAAAACATAATCAAAATGAAATCTCCTATTTCTTTTATGAGGTCTGTCGCTGTTCTTTGTTATGCAATAATTTAAAGTGCTTGATGTATTTCATCTCTTATTCAAACTAGATAACGCAGATCTGCTGGGTAAGTTGTAGTGTTGCCTTTTTTTGTTTAATCCTAGAAAAGAAGGCGTTAGTCTTCTGTAAGGAAAATCGCAGTTGAGATACAGATACAGATCTAGACGTGTTTTATTAATACAAGGCAGTAATTTCTGATAAGCTTAGCAGCCTTGTCACTGTCTAATATGCTGGTTTAAATTTTGATGGACATTTTAATTACAAAAAAATAAAGGATGTCTGGGTACAGGTAATTTATTCTCTTTCTTTTCTACAAACATGAAATGCCAGCAATTCAAATGTTTCTTTCAGTAGGAATAATGAAGGCCTTTTCTGTTTTGCCTTTAACAATGGTTTTCAATGGAGAATCTCCAAAGGATTGAAAATTCTAAGCACATTTATTTGTATTTCAGTGGCCAGGGAATGAGCTCTACCTGCTTCTGAAAAGAGAATAAAAATGAATTATGGGACTCATGGTCACAGAGGGAATAACTAAGCTCTTCCTTTCTCCATAGGTATGAATCAGGTTCTAGTGACCCTTCTTTTTATTCCTACTACTCACAAAGCCTGGGCAGCATTGGTCAGCGTCAATTCAAAACTGTGGCCTTGAAGGCTGAGAGACTGCTAAGCAAAGATACTTGAACACCTTGGAAAAGTGAGTCAGTACAGTACAGTATGGGATCAGTACAGGAATATAACCAGTGTACCATGCATGGAAAACCCCATTTCCCAAGCCCTTTTCACATATCACACTGCTGGTGCTGCGATCAAAAATACCAGGGATGCATTCAGATGGGCAGCTAATCCCGCCATTATGCCAGCTCAAATTTGATCCCGATCTTTTAAATCTGTCCTCGCACGACCAGACATCCCCCGGGGGAATCGCCTTACTACACGCTGCTTCCGCTGTGGTTTCTCTAGATGGTGTCCACTGAATGAGGCGTGCGCAGGGGCTTTTTTAAAAACAACAACAAAAGTTTGTGCATGCACATAGGTGTGATATTACAAGCTTGTTTATCCACACATGCGCAGAATCAAGATTTTTTTTAAATGGCAGCCGTTCGGGATGGTCTGACATCAGACCATCCCGAACGGGCGCCATTTTTTAATAGTGTGTTGGAACGATCAGATGGGGAAAGTCCATGACTGGCCCGTCAGAACCAAAAACTCCAGATTTTAACTTTTTAGAACGGCACCGAAGTGCGGCAAAACGGGATGCTCACAGAAGACAGATGTTTCCCAGGTGTTAATATCTGGACATTACATTTAAATCCATGAGGCACTCATGCCTCACGCAGATCTAAAGAACTGTCTGATCGGACTCCAGGAGAGGGGGCTACACATGATCCTCCTGATACATGCAACCACCATTTTGTCTGAATGTGGCAGCATACATATTTTCAGCCTCGGTACACGTGTATCAGAACCCACACGTATCAGGAGCATTGCATGTCATACTCTCTCCCAGTACACATGATATCAGTGCCAGAAATTTTATTCACTTTATTTTCTTTGTTTATATCCCACCTTTCTCCATGATTGGGGGGCTTACATCCTTTTCCTCCCCTCCAAGCCTGAATAGGACTCATGAGACATCTACATCCTGTCAATGACATTTGAACTTTACAGGGAAATGTCATGGCCTGAAATGTTTATGTTCTATCAGCTTTTGACTCCATTGTTTACAGTTCTTTTTTCTGCTTCCCTCCCTGTATATATATTTTTGCCAACTGAGGACACAGTTCATGCATTTGATTAAAAAAAGACACTAGTCCACGAAAGCTTACACCATAATAAATCTATTAGCCTTGACTGAATGTAATGCAAGGAATATTGGGATGTTTTGTTGACATACCACTACACCCATTTTTTAAAAAAATTCTAAGTTACCTCCACGCCTGAGAGGAGATGGTGAGTCTCAATTTACTTCCAACATTAGAAAAAAATGTCTTTACACACTTGATCCCTATTTTGACATATTTATTGCTTTCGTGTCTTCCCCCCCCAATTAAATCAAAACAACTCTTGACCTAATAACCTTAGCTTGTTATTTAGTTTTGTTTTTGCATACCTTAAAACATCTTCATCATGTTACATGTAAATTTGCTGTTCAGCCTGTCTATAAGTTTGAACTCACTCTAACTTCCATTCCAATGTATTTGAAAAAGTGTGCCTTGCACACGAAAGCTCATCCCTAGATTAAACTTTTGTTGGTCTTAAAGGTGCCACTGGACTCTAAATATGTTCTTATCCATACAGCAATCATACATGTTTACCCCATGAAATAGACAGTAAATATTACTTGAAAAATTAAACTTGTTCTTTGATTCATTTTCACTCAAAGGTGGCAGGTGGCAAGCATATAGACAGGGAGGGCCACAATGTTTCTAGGGACATTATCTCAGCTGTGCTGAACAGATAGAGCACAAACCCGGCTATGTGAAACTTGGCAGCCAGATGTATATATTCAACATCCTCATCGAGCAGGTGCTGCACAAAGGGACTTTCACTTGACTATACTGGGGCTATGGGTGTCAGGTACTGTGAATAAGCTTGATATGATCAGCTTTCCAGAGCCACGTACATGTTCACTTCATCTGTTTTGTAGTGGTGTTTGTTGCAAGAATGTTATCACAGGATTTCTCTTGCTTTCTAGTTCATTTATCTAACTTTGAAGCCACTCAAGTTTAGCTCAGGTAACATTTTCAATAGAGAGGAACAGCCAACAAATATGAAGTTACAACTCAAGCTTGTCAGAAAAATCACTCTGTGCACTTGTCATCTCCCAAGTGCTTTTTGAGAAAAGAAACATCTCTTGAAATCTCCATTTTAAAAAATAAGCCCAGACACGTTTACCTGGAAATCAGGAGCAGAAGTAGATGGTGTCGGCCAGACACTATTCCTCTAAAAACAACATGATCCTGCAAATATAGATGGGATAGGCCTAGAAAAGACATTCTGTGGTGCTCTAGAGAGCTCTACTAGTCTAACTTGAAAATAATGAGTTATGTTAGAAGAACTGTCAATTTACCTTGGCAAAGAGATTCTTATACATTTATAATGCTCTGAGGTTCTCCTCTGGTCTCATTGCTCATCTGTCTGTATTTCAGTGTTTTTACCACCAGTTCTTCATAACCCTGTTCTGTTCCTCCCTCTTACAGACCAAGCTTCTCAGATCAGAGCCTGATACCAGCTTCTCCTGTTCGTGGGCCTTCTTGTGCCATTTATTTATTTTATTTACTTATTAGATATTTTAGTCACCACTAGGGATGTGCATTCGGCTTTCCCAAACTGAAAAAAATACCGAATAAATACCTTATCAATATTAATCAGTATTTTTAAAGCTGAATGCAAATCCAGGAAACTTTTTGGCATCTGAATACAGTTTCCCAAATTTATTCAGCTTTTTCGGCTTTCAGGTAGCCGAATACTGACTTCCCTCCCACTGTAGCTTTCCTAGTTAATTTCACCACCACCATCCCCCGCCAGTCAGCTGTGGGAGTGAAACTGACCAGGGAAAGCCTCCTCTCTACCTTCCCTCCTCCAGCTACCCCAGGGCTGCTGGAGAAGCACAGGCAGAGAGCCCAGCCATGCTTAAATGCCTTTCTTTCCCTCTCCCACTTTGGGGAGGGAAAGAAAGGCATCTAAACATGCCTGGATTCCCTGCTTGCACTTCTCCAGGGGGCTGTGGCTGCGGGGCAACTGGAGAGGGGCAGGCAAGGAGCCCAGGCATGCTTCCATGCCTGCCCTGTGCTTTCCAGCCTCCCACCTCCACCATGGCGGGAGGGCTGGGAAAGCACAGAGCAGACATGGAGGCAGGCATGGAAGCATGCCTCCCTCCCCCAAGCTTCTCTGCCACTGCAGAGAAGCTCGGGGGGGGGAAGAAAAAAAGAAGGCATGTTTAAATGCTCCTGGAGAAGCGCAGGTAGGCTCCGAGGGGCTTCCAATGACATAAGTACATGATAAAAACATACATAATACAAACTAAAACATAACAGTTAAAATTAATACATTACAAAGTGCTGGCGGCAGTTAAAATTCAGTCAGAAGGAATGCTTTCAGATGGGTTTCTAGCTCCCAGCATAAAGTGCTTAGATGTTATTCTGCTCGTCACTCTTATGGCAGCTGCTCAATGATGACTTTGCGGGCCATGCACTACAGCAGTGGCCCCTAATTATATGCCTGGCGGAAGAGCTCCATTTGGCAGACCCTGTGGAACTGTGAAAGGTCCTGCAGGGCCCTGATCTCCTCCAGGAGCTCGTTCCACCAGGTAGGGGCCGCCACCAAAAAGGCCCCGGCCCTAGTAGCAGCTAGCCTGACCTCCCTCGGGCCAGGGAGGGTCAACCGATTTTGAGACCCAGACCGTAGTGCTCTCTGGGGTATATACGGGGAAAGGCGGTCCCGTAGGTATGCTGGACCCCAGCCATATAGGGATTTAAAGGTAAGAACCAGCACCTTGAAGCAGACTCGGTACCGATCAACAGCCTGGCTGTGGCGTTCTGCACTAGCTGTAGCTTCCGGATCCACAACAAAGGCAGCCCCATCTAGAGAGCGTTACAGTAGTCTAGTCTCGAGGTGACCATCACATGGATCACTGTAGCCAGGTCAGCGCGGTCGAGGAAGGGAACCAACTGCCTAATCAGCCTAAGATGATAAAAGGCTGACTTGGCAGTGGCTGCTACCTGGGCCTCCATGGTACGAGAGGGATCCAGGAGCACTCAAAAACTACGAACCTCTGGCACTGGGACCAGTAAAGCCCCCCCAA